GGTTTAGTTTGGGTATTAGGAAGAATTTCTTCCTGGAAAGGGCTGTCAGGTGTTGGAAGGGGCTGCCCAGGGAGGTGGTGGGGTCACCATCCCTGGAGAGTTTTAAGAGACTTGTAGATGTGGTGCTTAGGGACATGGTTAGTGGTGGACTTGGCAGTGCTAGGTAAACCATTGGAATTGGTGATCTTAAAAGCCTTTTCCAACCTGAAAGGTTCTATGATTCTGAGTTCCTCAAGGTCTGGTTAATGATGTTTACGTACTCTCCATTTATGTTACATCCCATAGCTTTGCCTGCACTGTTCAAAAAAGAACTTGTCAGTACGGAAGCCACAGAAACCGGGATGGCTGTTCTGCAGTGTGAGCTAACTAAACCCACTCCAGTAGAGTGGCGGAAAGGGCAGAAGTCGCTCAAGCCTAGTGAGAAGTACAAAATGAGACTGAAGGATACCATTGCTGAGCTGACAATCCATAGCCTGGAGGAACAAGATGCGGGAGATTACACATGCGTGTGTGGAGACAAGATGACTACTGCCTCCCTGACCGTGCATGGTAAAATGCATACGTTGAATAGGGATTTTCTGCTTTGTCATCGGTGATCTTACATAGGGTCGCAAGGAGGTTTTGATCCCATCTATTATTTTAAATTGACAGCTGTATCAACCCCTGGGAATATCTTTTACTGTAATTCCTTCTCTTAGGACTGAGAAATAGCACCATACATTATTTTCTGTCCCTGTTCTTTCATGTTAATGGAATCTGGAAGCAGAAAACGAAAACCTTGGTGAAGTCATAAAGACCACTTTCAATATTTCCATGAATTAATTTCACTAGGCATATGACTGAGATTTCATTTGTTCTTGAATGGAATTGAAAGGTGCTCTGTTGTGAGAACAACAGAGAAAGGCCAGTGAGAATGGTCCATTGCAGCCTGGAATTTTAAAAAACATAGTGTTAATTGTCCATCTGATCTTAAGACAGAGCTGTGCATAGTTCCTTGAAATCTTAGGATCAACTTTCTGCTGTTTTATCTTAAAATGCCTTTAAAATACATTCCAGTAGTGAAGCTATAGTTTTACATCACTGAGTTCCAAATCAGTTGTGACGTGTTGAATGTGTGAGACGTAAGGTAGGGATGCCCCAGAAATCATGCCTCTTGGGTACTGCATATTCTAAAACTCATAGAGGGTAAAGGGTTTTAATCCAGTGGAGCGGTCAAGACATGGTCTTTCCTCAGTTTTAAAGTGCGCTCTCTTCACCTGTGATCTTCAGCCCTTCCTCCACGTTTTAAAAAGGAGTTGAAGAACGTGGAAGCCACAGAAAAAGGCACAGCCACTTTTTGCTGCGAACTGAACAAGCCCGCGGCCGCTGCGGCGTGGAGGAAAGGAGACCGAGCCCTGGAGCCCAGTGACAAGTTCAGCATGAGATGCGAGGGCACGGTTGCCGAGCTGGTGATCCGTGATTTAGATCTGACAGATGCGGGAGATTACACGTGCTCTTACGGAGATCAGACAACCACCGCTGCACTAAAAGTGAATGGTAAAAAGAAAAATTAAATATATAACAAATTAAGTGGACTAATTTCAATCAGCTGGTTTTTAATAGTATCAGCTTTGAAATGACAGCCCCGTTTCTGATGAATTTAGCAACGTGTGGTTGGACATGGGCACGAGTGCCTGGATGCACTGGTCAGTGTCAGGCACAGATCAGTTGTTTGCTGCAAAGCTTTCAGATATTCAGCTTGCTATTAACTTATTTCTTTGATGCTCGTGTTCAGTAGTAGTTTCTAAAAAGGAAAAATCATATTATTGTGTTGTAGGGTGTAAAGATGTTACAGTCCTAAAGTTGAGAATATTACAGTTTGAGATATTTTTGATAGTTTTCAGTGTTTGAGAATAATTTGATGGTCAAGTTCTGCTAGACCACTGTCTGAGGAGAAACCTCATGGAAAAGTGACATTGATGCATCAGATAACTTTTCATTTATGAACTTTTTCAGTAATGTTTTGCATTGTGGCGGATGCTCTAGTTAGGCTTTATTTTCCATTGTGGGCAATACCCAAAATAAGGTAGGGCTTGGCCTTGCAGAGCCTGAAGAAGTTGAGGGTGGTGTGGGTCTCCTTTTCATGCCATGCCATGCCATAAAAAAAGCTCTGAGTTATGAATAAGGTGTTTTCCAGCTCTCCAAAATCCCTAGTTTGTGGTTCTGAGGGTGGTTATCAATCCTACTTGATTAGGGAGGGCTTTGCTTGTCACATGTGGTTGACACCACAGAGGCATCGGTGCTTGAGTCGCAGCCATGGTCATACATTCTGCTCATTTTGAACTCCTCAGCCTTGCCTGCACGCTTCAAGAAAGAGATGAAGAATGAAGAAGCCACGGAAGGTGGGACAGCCACGCTACAGTGCGAGCTGTCTCGGGCTGCCTCTGTGGAGTGGAAAAAGAAACACAAAGTGCTCAAATCGAGTGAAAAATACACTATGAGACAGGAAGGTACTAGAGCACAACTGCTGATCCATGCTTTGGAAGTCAAGGATGCCGGGGAGTACAGCTGTGTGTGTGGAGAGGAGAAGACTACTGCAGCACTGACAGTGCATGGTAAAGAAAAGAGAAATGAGAAATTTGCGTGTGATGATTCTCCTGTTCCCTGTGGAAGCCTCAGTACTGACACACAATGAGTCCTTTCCCTAATGTTGCCATCACTAATTCTGTCAGGAATGGATTTCCTTGTTTTTATCGTGATTTTTCTCTAATTCTAACTAGAATTGTGGTTCCGTTGATTATACTAACATTTTCCCCCGTGTTCTTCTTGTTTGTGCTGGTGCAGGGCTATACTGCTTAGCACCACACTGAGGGCTGAAGGATCCCATGTGCTTGCATTTCTTCCTGTTTTATTTACCTTCGACTGGAGCCTAATGGGATGGAGATGCAAGAACATCCATACTTCTCAAAAAGGCTGATCGTGGATTTCATGTTACATTAGGATTTGCCAGATAATTTTAAATAATGCAAACAAAACTTGATTCAATGCAACTTTTTAATATAAGTCTGACCAAGGATCACGTAGATTTGTATTCTGGTATTGCAGAATACTCAGGATTGTAGTGTAAGAGTACTTCACAGTCCTCAGTCAAATTAATCTGCAAAATTTTTTTGGAAGAGGGAAACTTTATTTCCACTATTAACCTAGGAGAGCAGGAAGTTGTTTCGGCCATCTCTCTCACTTGGAAGTTCAGTAGGTCAATGATTTGATTTCTTTTTACTGCCCAGACTTCTTCATCTTGATATTTACCAATAAAAGTAGAATGGCTTCAGTCTTGAACTTCCAATTTAACCATGGAAAGTAGAATTGGCAAGGACCTCTACAAGACATCTAGTCCATCCTTGAGCCCCATGTCACCATCACACCTACCTAGCCTCACTCCAGTGTTGAAGAATTTGCAGTTCCCCTGGAGACTCATTCCATTGCCTATCCATCAGTACTGCCAGAAAGTTCTTCCTAGTTTCAACAAAAGCTTTTCTTGAGCTGGCTTAAGTCATTATTTCTTATCCCAAATCCTGTATAAATGGAGAAATATTTCCTAGTTTCCTTTCTGTGAAAGATTTGAAAACTTATGTTTCCTTTCTGTCTTTTTTTCTGGACCAAACACCTTGAATCCTTTCACTCTTTCTTCATAGGTCATGTTTTCTAGACTTCATCTTTGTTACTTTCTGGGTCATCTTCAGTTAATCCACATCCTTCTAAAAGTGTGGTGGGCAAAAGCAGACTACAGGGCTCCATCCAGGCTTTGACAGCCTGGAGTAGGATGGAAGGACTTCATGTGTCTTGCCTATGACACTGTTTTATATATCCCTATTTATGATCTTTGCTTTATTCACATCAGAATTGCATTTTTTGATTTGTATTTGCTCCATGATCCCTTGTAACCCCAAATCTCTCTCTGCAGATCTGCTGCCTGTTGTTCCCTATCTTGCATTTGTTGATTGTTCCTATTCTTGCTGAATTGTAGCTTATTTTTTCACCACTGCTTCGTCAAGACCACCTAGATCCTAATCCTGTTTAACGAAGTGCCTTCAGCTTCTCTCCCTTCCCAGCCTGAGACCATCTGCAAACCTGATGACTACTCTGCATTTCATTGCCCAAGTCACTAAAGAAAATGTTAAATAATACTGGGCTCCAGAGTACTGAGGAACTCTGCTCAACTCATTGTTTCGTACTGAGTGTAAATCACTGTTGAATATTCATTCTTTGTGGTTTTCAAACTGCTGGTTCTTCCTACTGTAGTCCCACCTATACCTAAGTCAGGGTAAGAGCTTTACTAAAATGTTACAGCATATACTGTGTCTTTCTATCAGTGAAGCTTATTAAGTGATGTCAAGAAAAACTACACTGGTCCACTCTTTCAGCTGATAAAACTACACTGGTCCACTCTTTCAGGAAGAGAAAAGGCTTTGGCAAGTCCATGTGAATTGCTACAATATTTTTCGGAGAAGTAAAATTAAGCTGAAATGGCCACAATTCCTTGGATCTTCTCTCTGCTGTCCCCCTTTTCTCCCTTTTTCCAAGAAGCACTGTGAATGGGATTCAGCCTTTAGATCAAAACTGGTGAGTGCTCCTAAATTCTCGTTGTTGTCAGTGGAGATCTAATCACCACAGCCGTCGGAAGCCAGGGAGACATCCAGTTCCCCATATCGCAGACATTTGGTCAGCAGGTAGCTCCGTTGTCTCCATTGGCTTTGCCTGGATCTCTCTTGACTGTCCTGGGAGCTTAGACTCTTGGTTTACATGGTGAGAACTAAACGTATGCATTTCAATCTGTGGGACCTTTTCCACCTCTGAGTTTCCATCTTTTCTGTACTTGTGGAACATCACCCATTCTCTTTGATTCCTCCAGTGTAACTGTTAATGTCAGATATTGGTTGAGCCAGTACCTTAAGTATTCCAGGACAAATTTGATCACACCAAGGTGATTTGAGAACATTTAGTTTATTTAAATGTTCTCTAAACCATTTTTTTTTCTTATCCTACCCAGAAATCTTATTACTTTCTTAGCTATCATGAACTGTTAAAGAAGAAAAAGGAATCAAACACTTCATCTCTCCCCATGTTACCTACCATCAACCACTTCAGCTCTCCCCATGTTACCTACCATCAACTTACATTCCTGAAAGTTGGTAGACCAACTTCTCCCTTGTTTTTCTTCCTTCTAATCTGCCTACTGAATGTCATTGTATTCTTTCTGCTTCTTTCTAGTTCAAGCTGGCCAGGTTATCTTGGGATTTACATACTAATATCCTGATTCAGCCACAAGCCCCAAGTTGAACTGGGAGCACAGGCCATGGAAAGCTCGTGGAGAAGCAATCTCACCACCCAGTTGCTGGACACAAATACATACAGTATACGGCTGTGTCTGCAGACACCTAATATCAGCACCTTTTGCAGATTACATGGCCACAAGCCCCAAGGTGAACTGGGAGCACAGGACATGGAAAGCTCATGGAGAAGCAATCTCACCACCCAGCTGCTGGATACAAATAGATACAGTATACAGCTTTGTCTGCAGACGTCTGATATCAGCACCTTTTGCAGATTACATTTCAGTCCCTCTTTCACGTTGGTCTTTTTGTCCATGAGGTGACAGAGGCGAGGAATAGGGAACTGCCCTTGACCTTCTTGAGATGTGGGGAACCTGGACTTCCTGACTTTGCCTCTACATTCTGTAGCACTTCTTTTGCACTTATCCAAACCTCCCACACTTTATTGGCCACTTGATTTTTAGGACATGGAAGAATTTGTGATTGAGACTATTCCTGATGATCCTTGGAGTGAGGTAGTCCCTGCAATTATGCCCTTAATATTGTTTCTTTGGGAATTTATCCATTCTCTTTAAACTACCTTGTCCTTTAAGTTTGCTTCTGCTTGATCATAACTAACAATTCTTGAATTATTGGAGCTTGCTTTCTTGTTGCCCACAGAATTTCCTTTTGTTCTTCTCCATCATTACTTGTCCTAAAATCCATGAGATCTCCTGCTTCATAACCAGTGTCTGCCCAGTTATCCTCCACATCTGTATTCTCAAATACTTATTTCTTTCTGGTCAGAGTCAGGAACTGGAGATCCTCCTCCTGTTCTTTCATATCTATTCTAGATCCAAAAGTGGTTCCCACATCACCATCCAGTCTTATGCTCTGAATGATTCTATCTGTGTTTCCAAAAGAGATGGGGTTACGCTGCACATGAACCTCCTGGTGGGAAGGTCTTAGGGCAGATTTCCACAATGGAGACATTGTCCTTATTTTTCTTTTTGGTTACCCAGGCACTTTCAGGAGGTTTCTCCGATGCTGCTGTTCAGCCTCATTCTCACTCTCAGGCTAGGTCTGTAGGCATCCTTAACATGTAAAGCAAAACCTTTTCCTTTCATCCTTTAGCATTTTTTTTCCTTATCGTGTAACCTCCTATATCAATTTCCTGGGATGAATTACACTGAGAAAGTTAATTTTGACCATACGTGAAGTTTTCCCATAAGTTCTTCATACATCTCTAAACCAATCAGCAAATCTAGTCACTGTATAAGACCCTTTGTGTCTACGATGCAAATTAGTATTTTCCTTCTGTGAGTTGATCCTCATGTCAATAACTAGGCATGGATAGATATTGGTAAACATCAGGTTCATTTTTTGGTGGCCAAGAGCTTCTTATCGCAAAAAAAATGTTTGCTCCTTGTTTCTCAGCCCTTCCTTCTCTCTTCAAAGAAGAGTTAAGAAATGAGGAAGCCATGGAGGGTGAAGTAGCCACTCTGCGCTGCGAGCTGACCAAGACCGCTTCAGTGGAGTGGAAAAAAGGACACACAGTACTCAAACCTAGCGAGAAATACAAAATGAGGCAGAAGGATGCCGCTGCAGAACTGGTGATCCACAATCTAAATGAGAGTGATGCTGGTGATTATACCTGCGTGTGTGGGGATAAGCAGTCCACGGCTTCCTTAGCCGTACACGGTAATAACCAATTCCATCTAGGTGTCCTCATTGTTGAGCTTATGGTTTGGATTCTTTTTTTTATCCATGCTCATTGTTACCCCTGCATAGTTCCTCCGAGTCTGACTTCGCATGTCATAGTCATGAGGATTAATTTTCATTTTGTGATTTAAGGGGAAAAAGTCTTCACCCCAGTTCCATATACAAAGTGCTGTTGGGACCTGATCCCTAAAGTAGATTTGAGGTCAGGCCTGAAGATGGCTCCTCACAGCTCTCCTTCCCCTTCCCCTGCCTTTCACCAGGAGGCTGTGATTGCCGCTCCGTTTTAACCCTCTGTCCGTTGCATCCTCAGCGCTGCCTGCACGCATCCAGGAAAGCCTGAAGGACGAGGAGGTAACAGAAGGTCAAGCAGCCACTCTGCGCTGTGAGCTGACTAAGGTTGCCCAAGTAGAGTGGAGAAAGGGACACAGCTTGCTCAAAGTCAGCGACAAATACAAAATGAGACAGGAAGGCACGGTCATGAAGCTGCTTATCCATGACGTAGAACTGAAGGATGCTGGAGAATACACTTGTGTGTGTGGAGAACAGGAGACAACAGCCACCTTGAGAGTGCATGGTAAAGAACATATACATATGGCTGTATTACTGTGTTTTTCTCTACCAGCTCATCACTATTGGTTGTGTGTTCACCTGTGGCTGAATTTGGTTTTTTTAAATTTCGATCTGTCTCTAAGCTCTGGGTACATCCAGGCTGTTTTCCTGTTTCTGTCTGTTGGTTTTTCTAATGTCCCAGCCTTATGAGGAAAGGAAACCCTTTCCACCCTAAAATGTTTTCTGTTTCACCCCATCACCTGTGTACCACGTGTCATTTGTCATGTCCTCTGTCTGACCTTCAGCCCTGCCTGCGCTTTTCAAAGAAGAACTGAAGGACCTGCAAGCCACGGAAAGCCAAACAGTCACTCTGCGCTGTGAGCTGACCAAGGCTGCGGCTGTGTCATGGAAGAAAGGAAACAAAATGCTCAGGGCTAGTGAAAAATACGTCATGCGGCAGGATAATGCCCTTGCTGAGCTGGAAATTTGTGATCTAGACCTGCAGGATGCGGGGGATTACACCTGTGTGTGTGGAGACCAGCACACCACAGCTTCTCTGACAGTGAACGGTAAATTCATCTTGCAGATGACTGTTCATTTTTCTGCTCCTGTGAAACATCCTGTTGCTGTATGAAGTGTTCACCCATCAGCTCTTTCCTAGGAATTATTCTGTGTTGAGGAAAGGAGAGTTTCTTGTTCTGACATTTGTTTGGTGTGCTATTCCTGAAAAGGGAGCTGAGGACACGACTATTTCTCCATGCATACAAACTCCTATGCTGTAAGTTTAAGGGAATAGTGCCTTGGAAAGTCTCCTGCTAGCCCAGCTGAGATGTCCTACCCACATGGAGGGTGGCCCTGTGATAAATCATTTAGATGCAGCTTGAATCCATCCAGCCTGTTGTACTTTGACCTGTCAGCTCAGCACTTCTTTTCTTGCTGTCACTGCCGAATTTAGTTTTCCAGATCATCACAGTGATAACCTCAATAGCCAAAGAGCTTGACTTGGCCAGATTGGAACCTCAGTTGAGAATTCATGATGCTGATCGCAACGCAGAGGTCTTAGTTTAAATACACTCTCTCTTGACTTTCCATTCCCAGCCCTGCCGGTGCGTTTCAAGGAAGAACTGAAGAATGAAGAAGCCCTAGAAGGAACGTCAGTCTCTCTGCGTTGTGAATTAACCAAAGCAGCTCCAGTGCAGTGGAAAGTAGGGTCCAAAGTGCTCAAAACAAGTGACAAATATCAAATGAGACAGCCTGGCACCACTGCAGAGCTGGTCATTCATGACCTAGAAGTAGAAGATGCTGGAGATTACACGTGTGTTTGTGGTGACCAGAAGACAACAGCAACCTTAACAGTTCATGGTAAAAAGACCTTATTAAAATTAATAACTAGTTCTGTAGATAGACATCACTCTGAAATTCCGCTGTTTCTGCCCTGGGTCAGTAGCTTGTCTTTGTTCTAACCCCTTTCTCTTCATTCCATGTGTAGCTCATTTCTTACTGAGAAAGACTAGCTCAGGGCAAATTTTTGGGTCATTATTAATCTGCCACCCTTTAAAAGGAGAAAATGAATGTTTCTTTCTGCCCAAGTCCCCTCTCCTTGGACATTTTCATTTTCCAGCTCTTTTCTCCCACCCCATCCCTATGGTTCACTTCACCAAACACAGTTTTCTCCAAAACACACGTGTGGTCTGTCAGACCCTCCGCTCTCCAAGCACAGCTCAAAGGAGAAGTGAGGGTGGGGGGAGCAGGAGGAGGTGGGAGGTTGGGGGACCTTTACTGAGGGATCTGGCCATGGCTACTCCTGGGGGTACCAGCTTCTTTAAGCAAGTCAGACATGCAGAATGAGTTAAGAGTTACCATTTCAGAGCTTGTTCCCTCTAATCCAGGCTTGAAGGATGCAGAGGTCTACACTTCCATGTGTGTGGATCAAAACTACCTTGGCAGATATTAGAAAAACCCAGTGAACAACACAGGTTATCAGCAGTTGTACTCTTCTTTATCCTACTAGCTCCCAGTAAACCAATCCAGAAATAAATCCTTGTGCTATGTTAGTAATCTCATTATTTGATGTTCTGCTCTCCTCTCGTTAATGAGTATGCATTTTAATGGAACAACAGTCCCTGGCTCTGAGGAACTTCTCTGGTCAAAACAACCTAGTTCTGTCCCCTCCAGCTGTTTTCCAAAAACATTTGACTCCCCTCAGGCTTTCCTGAGGCATTGACCTGTTCTAAGGCATTTAGGGATTACTGTTTGTGTTCTGTACCCTCTTACAGTGGTTGGGCATAAAGGCACATTTGTGGGTAAATGTTAATAATTAGTTTTCCTGTAGGTTGTTCTGTCTTTGGGTTATGATTTGCAAAAGAGGGATTACTAAGAATCTGAAATTCTTATTCTGTGTAATGGCTCTTCAAACTTCGCTTTAAAACTAGAAGGAATTTTATTTTGAAATGTCTGCTTTCATGTTGATGGGGCTGTAAGTTTTTAGGAAAAACAGAACAGAAAATAACAATACCAGCCTCCAAGGAATCAGACCTGTGTAGGTAAAATAGCACCATATCCAGCAGTGTGATCTGTGAGAGCAGTTGGCCCACGATCTGGATCTTTATATATTGTTCTTTCACCATGAAAAAAACCCAAACAGCCAGGGAACTGATCCCTTACAGTAAGTGAAACCACGTCACGCTTGAAGAAGGCGACTTTCAGGGTTTCTGAACTTGGCTATAGCAGAGCATGTTTATAAATAGGCTGAAAAAGGGAGGTGTGAGGGGAAATAATCCTGAGCATGGGAAAGAAATTAGGATTTTAATTCTGTTTTTCTGATGACCCTTTGTCCATGTTGATCGTTCAGCTCTGCCACCGCTCTTTAAGGAAGAGCTAAAGAACAAGGAAGCAGAAGAAGGTGGAGAAGTCGCCCTGCACTGTGAGCTCACCAAGGCTGCTCCGGTGGAGTGGCGGAAGGACCAGAGGATTCTCAAAGCCAGTGAGAAATACAAAATGAGGCAGGAAGGGACCAAGGCAGAGCTGGTGATTTGTGAAATAACTGAGGAGGATGCAGGAGACTACACCTGTGTGTGTAGAGAGCACCAGACTACAGCTGTCTTAACAGTACAGGGTAAAAGTTATTTTCATCTCCTATTTCCTGGAAGTGTCTGTCCTCTAATATAAGATGTTCAATTTTCTGTTTGTTCAACCTTATTAACTGAAGCCTCATTCATTTGAAATAGTATTCCCTGCCTTTGATGACCTGTAGGCTGTGTGTATTGGAAAATAGCCATCTGTATTTTTCCTGCCCTCCTTTTGTCTTTTCCTTTTCTAAAGCACAAACCTGCTCCTTTCCTTAAGCACAAACTGGCTATCCTTTCATCTTTCCCTTCTGGCATTCCTTTCCTGGCATATAAACCCACTGTCCTTCTATCTTTCATTCCCTGCGTTTCTTTTCTAAAACACGTGCCTGTTTATTCTTTGCCATTCCTTTCTGGCATTCTCAGTACCTCCCATTTTAATGTGGCATAGGGTATAATAAGCAGTATTCAGCATAAGGCTGTGTTAATTATAATTTCTTCTGTGCTGAGTTATCTTTATATTTGGTTTTGTGCCTGTATCCTAACGCACACAGATAGGTTTGCACTGGGAGTCTGATTTTCTAAGCAGGAAAGAAAAAATACTTTCTGTGACCTCCTTCTGGTCTTATTTTGTTGCAAGAACCTGCTGCTGTTCAAGCCAAACTGCTGTTTCGGCTTAACACTCCTGGTGATGGCAAGTGTGCAAAAGCAAGGAAGCTAAACCTAGTGGCTATTTTAACTTACCTCCGTCACTATGCAGTGAGTCATTAAGAGATCTGAGCTTTCCAACCTTGTTATGGAGGTGGAATATCCCATTGTCCCCTCTAGTTAATAGAGGGACATATCTTAAGGTCACCAAATTTTATTTCTGGGGAAAATGTGTTCTGAGATGCAAAACCAGGCTGGGGATTCACCTTCTGGAGATTTACTTTGGGATCAAGAGGAATCTGTGAGCCCCAGCTGCACCTTTTCAGGGGCACCTCAGGGAGGAAGGACTGATGATGAGTAGGGAGCTGTGCCAACACTCTGAGCTCAGCAGGGCTGCCCTGTCAGGAAAGAGAGTGCAAAGGCATGGAGTTTGTGAAAGACGTGGACACGTGTGAATTAAGGGGCTCAGAGATTATATTCTCAGTTGTTCTTACGTGGAAACTGGTAGAAAGCAGGTGTAATTCTCTTGAGGACAATGCAGTTTTGCTAATAGGAGCCCAGCATAAAACCAGAAGTTTAGGGTATATATTCCCACTAGGATGCTTTCATTTCTCTTTCCTCTCTTTGTTGCTGATGCTCGCCCTTCCGTAACCTTCACAACTTTCCCCTGTCACTTCCTACTCTCACCCATCCCTGGAGATGCCCTCAGTTTGTAATACATTTTACCTGCACCCTTCAGCTGTGCCTCCATTTTTCCAAGAAGAAATGACCAGCAAGGAAGCAGTAGAAGGTGGAACGGCCACTTTGCACTGTGAGCTCAGCAAGGCATCTGCCCGTGTTCAGTGGAAGAAGGGCCATCGTGTCCTCACCTCGGACAAGAAGTACAGCATGAGGCAGGAAGGCTGTGCTGTGGAGCTGGAAGTTCATGGGTTGGACTTGAATGATACTGGAGATTACACCTGTGTGTGTGGAGACAAGACCACCACAGCTACCTTAACAGTGCATGGTAAAGTAATCCTTGGGAGTGAGGTCCTCCAAACCTTATTCCTGCCCAAGTCTCTATTGCTATGGACTCTTCCCATTCCCTTTCTGTTTGCTTGGGCTTCTGTGTTCCTTTGGGGTTTGCTCATGTTCTGTGTTCCTTTGGGGTTTGCTCATGTTCTGTCTCCTTCTGTTAGAACTGGGAAAAGAGCTGCCTGTTGGTGTTTGTCCTCCTCAGCTGTGCTGGTCCATCTCACTTACCTTGCCCTGCTGCAGAGAGCAGGGAAGTCAGGGGAGGTTTTTCCGTTGTGTTCCTCTGACCTGGATCAGGGCTCAGTAGTGCACCATGCATCTTCTCCCCCAGGACCTCACCTAGCTGCTTTTTTAGGAATATTCACTCTATGGTAATTCTTTTACTCTTCAGCACTGCCTCCAGAATTCAAAAAAGTCCTGAAGGACCTAGAAGCTGTAGAAGGTGGGACAGCTTCTCTGCTCTGCGAGCTGACTAAACCCGCTGCGGTGGAGTGGAAGAAAGGGCAGGAGGTGCTCCAAGCCAGCAGCAAGTACAAAATGAGTCAAGATGGTGCTGTTGCAAAGCTGATTATCCATGAGCTGGGTGTGGAGGACACTGGAGATTACACCTGTGTGTGTGGAGATCAGCAGACAACTGCCACTTTGACAGTCAATGGTAAAAAAATTTGAAAACAATGAAAAAAAGAAAAAAAAATCACCAAAAACACCAAGAAGGGAATAGGTTATGATATATTCTGAAAATAAAACCTGTACGTTAGTGTCACTTAGGAGTTGTAGCCCAGTCTTCTCCGTAAGGAAGGTGTGCAGAATAGTATGGTGTATACAGACTCATAGAGTGACCAGGCAGAAAATGGGAATTGAATGCAGAACTAAATGCATTTTGTTAGTGTTGCTTTCAGGTTAATTGTAATTTCTCCTTCAAGTTACCTGTCTTGAAAGGGAATCTGAACTCTTACAGCTCCCTGCTGACCTTCAGAATACCTCCTCCGTGATCAGGGCAACATGTTGGCTAGTTTTATAGTAGGAAAAATATCGTGCCATTTTTAGATCATAGATTAGATTAGGTTTGTCTAGACTTCGTGGCAGATGTAACTTCTTGAAATCAGTTTCTTCTTGTTCTGCAGATATTCCTATTACCTCTCTGGGGAAATAGCTTTCTACTTTGAATCTAGAGCATTGAGGCTTAGAGACATCTGCTGTAAAGCTCTTTTGGTTTCTTTCTACTGTCTCTTTCCCAAACCCCAACTGCAGGATGTTGCAAGTTATATTTCTATTTTATAGCCCTACCAGCACTTTTTAAACAAGAACTTCAGAACACCGAGGCAGAAGAAGGTGGTATAGCCACACTGAGGTGTGAGCTTACCAAACCCAAGGCTCCAGTAGAGTGGAGAAAAGGAGATACTACTCTCTACCCTGGCTTGAAATACGAGATGAAGCAGCAGGGCTCCACCGCTGAATTGATCATTTATGACCTAGAACTGGACGATGCAGGAAAGTACACCTGCGACTCTGGACATCAGCAAACAACGGCTGTGGTAACCGTACATGGTAGGCAGAGTATTGACCCTTGGCTCACTAGAGCTGAAGTGAAAGCAGCATCTCTCTGTGCTACCCTACAACCATTTGTTTGTTTTGCTGTTGGTCCACAACAGCCCACGTCTTCTACTTGAGCATGACACGTGGTCATGTTAGAAAGGTTCTGCTTGCAGTATCCATGTGATTAATCAGCATCAAAGTAATTAAATGTTGCCATGATATCAAAATGGGATGAACCCTCCTGCCCTCTGCAGTGTGGTTGCATATGGGAATGGATAACAGAAAATAGGCCAGGCAGGCTGATGGTTATTTTGGGTTGATTGCTTTGGTAGGTGTAAGGGATGCCTAATTGGGGGGGTCATGTCTGTTTGGGAAGATAAGACATGCAACAATTGGTGGATAAAGGATTTCTATAATGTGACTGTGCTGTAGTATTACTTGAGGTGTAAACACTGAGTGCATCTGTTTTCCTCAGCCTCTTCTACCACCCCATTCCATACAGGAATCTGAATTTCCTTTTCCATTTATCACTCTGCCATCATCTCTTACTATATTACATCATCTTGCATTTTGAATGCTAACTTGATCTTTTTTATGTTGATAGAAGCTTTATTTGGGGGAAAAATACTCTTAGCTTAATATCACAAACTCACAGATGTCTATTAAGGAGCAAGGGTCCATGTCCCACTGTATCCCAGGGGTCTTTGACTAAAGCATCTGTAATTGTCATGGACTTGCTTCTGTAGCAAAGTCTGACTCCTTCAGACCACAAACCAGGCCATTCTGTGGACTAGTCTGAGACAGCTCTCGCCAGCTGTCCTCAAGTCTTGGTTCACGTAATGGCTCAAGAAACACGCCACCAAGACGGAGGGTTGCAGCCCAAGGATTGTGGAATCATTAGAACAGGCCATTTCTGAAGAACAATGGTAGCATTGGGTTTTTTCCGGACTAAAATATCCTGAAAACCTTTCTTTCTCAAATTTTGCAGCACTGCCTGTCACATTTAAGCAACCCCTTCAAAATAAGGAATCAGAGGAAGGAAGTACAGCCACATTCTGCTGTGAGCTGTCAAAACCCAATGCTGCAGTGGAATGGAGGAAAGGAGGAGTGGGGCTGCAGCCCAGCGAGAAGTATGAAATGAGGCAGAGGGAATGCTGGGTAGAGCTCTTAATACATAATCTCAAATTAGAAGATACAGGAGAATACAGCTGTGATACTGGGGCTCAGGAAACCAAGGCGTCTTTAAATGTGAAAGGTAGGTGGTATGAGCTGACTCCTAAAGCAATGTATTCCGCCCAACATGCAAAGCAACACTTTCAGTATGAATATTTTGAAGTACATCACTTTTTTCCTGTAAATATTTTCCCTTTTATCTGATATACAAAGTTTGTTGGTTTTGGTTTTGTTTTTTTTAAATGGGAATGGAAGAGGATGATAATTTTTTCTTCCAGTGCTGCATTTGTCTTGGGTTCCAAGAAGAAATATCTTCTAGCTTTATGACCGTGGAGAAATTAAAGGAAGAGCAATGCTTTATCATCATGTCTGGACACTTCACTTATATGGCTTAAATATTTTTCAAAAGATTTTCTTCCAAATCCTGGAAGAACACTGACAACAACCTTCTTGATCTGCAAAGGCTGTCCGTGGAGTTTTCAACTTCTTTACTCTTGAGATCTTTGTTAGATCAACTGAAGGATCAGAGAATTCAAATAATTTAACCCCAGGAAGGATTTGAGTCAAGGAATAAAGGAAATTATGTTGAAAGTGCTGATGGCTGCTTCTGACTCAGCGAGATCTCCTAGTAGCTCCAGGCAGATTAGAAATCATGGATCCTGCCTAGGAATATAGCACTTGCAAAGCACATAGTCTTGTTCCCTGAAGTGTCAGCCTAACTGTGTTAACCAGAACTTGACTCTGGCTTAATAAAAGCTCCTTTTCCCTTTTTTTTTTTTCCCTCCCTTTTAGCTCTGCCAGTTCTTTTCAAAAAGGAGCTTAAGGACAAGGAGGCAGAGGAAGGAGCTGCGGTGAAATTCCAGTGTGAGCTGACAAAGGATAATGCAACAGTGGAGTGGAGGAAAGGCACGATGGAGATCTTCCCGTGTGCCAAATATGAAATTAAATTAAGTGGTCGCAGAGCTGAACTCGTGATTCATAATGTAGAACCCGAAGATGCCTCTGATTACACATGTGATACAGGAGACGAGCGGAGCACAGCAGTCCTCAGAGTGAATGGTTAGCATTGCATCCAAATGGAACAGAGGATAAAAGGGATTCGTGAAATTGTGTGAATGTTGTTCTTTCATTTATTGGAGAGTAAGGCACCCTGAAAGTTAAGATAAAGAGGAAAGCAGGTGCCCAGTCATAAACCAGAATACAGAAAAGTGGATCATACGGGACAGGATTTGTAGAATGGCTATTTCAGCCTGCAAAGTCCAGCGTACAGCATACTGACCCCTTCCTCTGATAGTGATGAAAGCAAGAAACTGCATCTTGGGGATTTTGAAATTCAAATAGACCTTTATTCTTGGCACTTTGCATTCATTGCTGGTTCAGTTGAGTCAATAAATAATAAGTAATTTACAAAAGCTTTTTAAAAAATGTATTATTGTCAGTTTTTGTAAGATCCTGGGGATACTGTGTTTAAACAAACAGGAGTAATGCCCGTGATGAATCATCTGTGAAATGTTTGTGGTCATCTCCAGCTGTTGGATGGAACCTGTGGCTTTCTCTAAGCCACACCCTTTCATGCTCCATCCTCTTGGCTGAACTTGACCCACTAGTTGGGTCAACTAGAAGGGGAAGAGCCCTGCCCTTGCTTTTTACATCCATCACAACAGGGTTTAGACAGAAGACCCACAAGCACTGAGATTCCCATTTTCACAGCTGCTGTCTCACACCCGATGGATATTCCCTTCTTGTTTTCATCAGCCACAAGCTGTTGTCTGAGTGGTTCCGTGTGCTGCTTGAATAAATGTTGTCCATTTACCTGTGCGTCGTCTGGAAGGGCTTACTGTTGATGGTCTAGGACCTTCAAGAGACAGCAGAGAAATCAGAGACGTGTTTAAAGCTTTACGGTCTTTATGGTGTTGGAAATCATGAGTGCTTCCATAAAAATGAATAGATAACACTAGTTTTAATAAGAAAGCACCAGGTTTTGCTTAGCCAAAATCTTATGCATGTTTTGGAGTTTCCAGTGCCCAGTGCAGATGTATAAAGATTATTTTGTGGATACCCTTGACTTTTTGGGAAGCAACCATATTTGGGGAACTTTCTGACACTCTCTTTGTCTGGATATACAGAATATAGGCCTGTTAATAGAGAAAACAAGAATTGTTATTTTCATACAACCACTTAATGCAAATTTATTCTGTAGCATCAGACTCCAGGTACCTTGTGCTGAGTTGTCCAGACCTAGCATTCAAGCTAATGAATCGTACATTAATTGTTTTGCACTTTGCAGTCATCAAACCCCAGCTGAAGCAGCAGCTGAAGGATGAAGAAGTGGAAGTGGGAGGAACAGCCAGGCTGCGCTGTGAGATTTCCATTAGCAAAGCAGAAGTGGAGTGGAGGAAAGGTGGAGTCGTCCTTCACGCGAGTTCCAAGTACGAAATGTGGCAGGACGGCACCCTCCGCGAGCTGCGTGTTCATCGCTTGGAGCCTAGCGATGCTGGAGAGTATTCCTGCAAGGCTGGAGATGAGACAAGCTCTGCAAAACTGACCGTCAAAGGCAAGACCTTTACTGGGGCAAGCGGGTTTTCACTTTAGGATGCTAAGATTCTGCAGCGTAATTGGTACTGCTGTGATAAGCAGTTGCGCTAAACTATGGTGATAAACACAGCCCATAGGAAGGGCATGATAAAAAAATATTACGGTCACTGAATGCACCAAAGCAAAGATTCACTTGGTTGGGAGAGGATAAGGCAGCTGTAATTTTTGACTCATGGTTTGAAATATTTGCTTGACATCATATGCATGTGAGTGAACAGATGGTGCATCCCCAGCTTCCAGTCACATGGCAGCTGCATCTGGCCTTAATGTCATTGCAGACAGAGCCTACGTTCAGGTTGGACCGCTAGTGTGGAACAACCACCGCTAGCATCTCTCCAGGCTGCTCGGTATTATAGATACTCTGTACGTTCTGCCCAGCTGCACCATTTTTCGTGCAGATGGTGACCTCAGTTGTATGAGTATGCCCTGTGTTTGCTCAGATAAAGGTTGTGCTGTTTCCTTTGGTACTCTGCAGCTGATTCGGGGTTCACACAGCTTCTGCCTGTTGCAGGCTGTCTGTAGGGTCTTTGCAACAATCTGCAGGTGCCCGGCTGTCCTAGAAGCAGGGCTCAAGGAAACTGAAGTGCAAATACCCTGTGCTCATGCTAATCCAGTAAGTCCTGCTGAGAACACAGAGCCAACCAGATCCCCAGCCAGTTTAGAGCACCAGCACGGAGTATATGCAACTCTGTGTGCAAAAAGACGGTAGAGGGGATCAGGTTTTAATGATATTCGATGAAGATATCTAGGTGCAAATGCAGTAAGTTTAGAAATCCTGAATTTGGCATCTAGTGTTCATACCTTATGCACCCAATTACGTTATCAAGCATGTAATTAAAAAAATCAATAAGCAATATAACTCTGAGAAAGGGCAAGGAATAAAACTGCGATCTGAAGCATATTGGCCACGTTACCAAGTACACAGAAAGTACTGAACCAGCAGCATTTGAAATGAGAATTGACAATTGCCGTATCTCCATCCTTGGAGGTACTTAAAGTCCAGCTGCCAAGGCTCTGAACAACCTGCTGTAAGCTGGCCCTGCTTTGAGCAGTGGCTGGACCAGATGATCTCCAGAAGTCCCCTCCAACCTATATTATTCAGTGTTTCCATGATTTGATCCCTGTTTTCCCTTTCACGGCTTGACCACTGATGGACCATTTGCAGAGCCCGACGTGAGCATCGTGAGCGGCCTAAAGGATATGGTGGTGTTTGAAGGGGACGATGTCACGTTTCGGTGCCAGGTTTCTCATGAAAACGCAAGGGATGTGGAATGGAAGCTACAGGATGTCGCTCTGCAAAACAATGAAATGAATGAGATCTCAGTGGAAAAAGGAAAGATCCACACCCTGACGTTACGGAAGGTGACTGAGCAGGACATCGGCACCATCACGTTCCGAGTGGGACCCCACACGTCGACAGCAGAGCTCACAGTAAAAGGTAAGGGCTCTCTGTGATGTGGGAGAGGAACAGGATTGGTGAGGACAGGTGACGTTTTGCTTATGCTAACAGCAACTTCAAGGCCGTCATTCGCCCCGTGTTAACTCGTGTTAGTAGGGCGCTCGTGCTTCGGAGCAGGCGTGACGTACTAATGTGACCTCCTAGACCGCCACCACTGTGGAAAGTCAGTGGACATGCCACCGGGGTCCTGAAGGTACCTAGCTTGTAGAGAAATTATGGGGGTAGATGCAGGAGGTGGATTGACAGGTCTGTAATTTTCAGTGCTTCCACTTTCCCATTTCTTTTTCCTTTTTCTTCAGTGGAGTCTGCCTTTCTCTAAACATTTTTGTGAAAAAAAAAAAAA